CACTCCAGTCTGGGCGACAGAGTGAGACTCCAACTCAAAAACAAACAAACAAACAAAAATTAGCTGGGCATGGTGGTGCACGCCTGTAGTTTCAGCTACTTGGAAGGCTGAGGTGTAAGGATCACCTGAACCCAGCAGGTTGAGATTGCAGTGGCTGTGAGCAGTGTGCCGCTGCTCTCCAACCTGGGCAACAGAGTGAGACTCCAACTCAAAAGAAAAAAAAAAAGGAGACTGAGTCAGCAAGCACATGGCAGCTGGCCAAGAGGCTTGGTTGGTGAGGGGAAAGGGGAAATGAGAACCAAGCACATGGAGGGGAAAGCCCATATGCTAGAGTTTTCTTTTGAGTTGGAGTCTCGCTCTGTCATAGACTGGAGTACAGTGGCACCATCATGGCTTACCGCAGCCTCAATCCTGGGCTTAGGCAATACGTCTGCCTCAGCTTCTGAGTAGCTGGGACTACAGGCACACACCACCACGCCCAGCTAATTTTTAAATTTTTTTTTGGTAAAGATGAGGTCTCACTACATTGCTCAGGCTGGTCTCGAACATCTTGGCTCAAGCAATCCTCCTGCCTTGGCCTTCCAAAGTACTGGGATTACAGGTGTGAGCCTCAGCATCCGGCCTGTTGGGAGTTTTAAAAACACCTTTGAAATACGATCAAAGGAGATCATGGTCATTAGAGAATACCGAGACCTGGTTGATCTCAGGATCACCTGAGCCCAGGAGGTCAAGGCTGCTGTAAGCCGTGATCATGTGATAATGCCACTGTACTCCAGCCAGAGTGACAGCGTAAGACTCTGATTCCAAAAAAAAAAGAGAATACTGAGACCTGAATAACAAAATATACCACTTATCAAGTCTGTGTAGTATAATGAAGTGACACTTTGTTGGATGTTTATTTTTTATAATACAACATGACATTCAAATTTGATGAATGTTTAGTTTTAAGTGCTAAGACTGGGGGAGATGGATTAGTGACCTGTATGTGGGAATTGAGTAAATGACACAGTCAATTGACTGTAAGGACAGTCAAAAGTTATACAAGACAGGAAAGTAATAGAATGCTTGGCTAGCATCTCATGGTCATGACATAAACAGTAGAAACTGGACGTTGGCTCTTTAGATAGGTAAACTCCATGGGCACATCGGACTTTCTTTTATTCATTTGCTTTATCCCCAGTCTCTAGAACAGGGCCTGGAATGTAGAAGGCACTCAAGAGTTATTGTCAAATGAATAGATCTAACCAAAATTTAGTGCAACATCCTCAGAAGGATGTGCGAACAAAAAAATATACATGTGTATGGGGGCAATGGGGTGGAAGAGAGAAATTCTCAAATTTTATAGCAGGATAACAATGGATAATGCCTAAAACTGAAAACTTAAGAAATATGGGATTTGGAAATATACGGAAAATACAAAGCAAAAGCAAACATGGCAAATACAAAGCCAAAGCAAAACGAAACAGTGAAAAGACTTGGAACTGGCTGTCTCTGGGGAGAGAGAAATGGGCAGACTCCTTTTTAAAAAAGAAGTCTTGGGCGGGGCTTGGTGGCTCAACCTGTAATCCCAGCATTTAGGAAGGCTGAGGCGAGTGGATTGCCTGAGTCCACGGGTTCGAGACCAGCCTGGGCAACTTAGCGAGCCCTCATCTCTACAATAAATAAATAAAAAATTAGCTGGGCATGGTAGCGTGCACCTGTAGTTCTGGCTACTTGGAAGGCTGAGGTGGAAGGATCACCAGAGCCCAGCAGGTTGACGCTAGGGTGGCTGTGAGTGTGCCATTGCACTCTAGCCTGGATGGAGTGAGACTCCAACTCAAAAAAAAAAGTCTTGGAACATCATTCAATTGTTTTAATCTATGGGCATGTATAGTGGATTGCCTGGTGACCCCCGAAAAACATGTCTGTGTCCTAGCCCCAGGAACCTATGCATGTGACTTTTTTTTGGAAAAAAGGTCTTTGTCAATGTAATGAAGGATCTTGAGATGAAAAATCCAGGTGGGCCCTAAGTCAAATGACTTGTGTTCTTACAAGACACAGAGAGACAGAGAGACGAGGCGAGGCCATATGAAAGAGGCAGAGATTAGAGTTATGTAGCCACAAGCCAAGACCTGCCTGGCACCACATGATGCTAGAACAGGCAAGGAAGCATTCTCCACTAGAGCCTTAGAAGGGAGTGACAAGACCGGGCTTGGTGGCTCACCCTGTAATCCCAGCACTTTGGGAAGCTGAGGTGAGTGGATTGCCTGAGGCTGTGGGTTCGAGACCTGCCTGGGCAACTTGATGAAACCTCATCTGTACAATAAATCAAAAATTAGCTGGGCATGGTAGCGCACACCTGTAGTTCCAGCTACTTGGAAGGCTGAGGTGGAAGGATCGCCGGAGCCCAGCAGGTCGAGGCTGTGGTGGCCGGGAGTGGCCACTGCACCTCCAGTCTAGGTGACAGAGTGAAACTCCAACTCAAAAAAAAAAAAAGGAATGACACTGTTAACGCCTTGATTTCAGACTTCTGGTCTCCAGACCTGTGAGAGAATAAGTTTCTGTTGTTTAAAACCACCACGTTTGTGTAATTTGTTATAGCAGCCCCAGGAATCTAATACAGCATGCATAACTAGGGTAAAATTAAAATAAGAAAATTTATTATTTAACCACATTGATTAAAAGGGCAAATAACCAATAGATATAGTAAAATCATTTGATGAAAGTCAATCCCCATTCATGATACAAAAAAACCTTTTTTTTTTTAAAGATTCTGATTGGGTGCAGGGACTCATGCCTATAATCTCAGTACTTCAGGAAGCTGAGATGAGAGGATTGCTTGAGCCCAAGAGTCTGAGGTTACAGTGAGCTATGATCATGCCACTGCACTACAGCCTGGGCAGCAAAACAAAACAAAAAAGAAGAAAAAGATCCTTGATAAACTAGGACTAGAACAGGCCTTTCCTAACCTGATAAAGGATATCTCTCAAAAACCTACAGCAAGCATCATACCCAACAGTGAAACCTTATGTCAGGAATAAGATACTAACATTACTGCTTCTCTAACTCCTGTACTAGACCATGACCAGAGTAATAAAACAAATAAACAAACAAACAAACCAAAAAGACAACTTCTAGGGTACAGCAATGTTCACTTGCTCCTAGGTTGGCAAAGAGGCAGGGAATGAACCAAGAAATTAAAGACTAGAAGTTACAACATCAAGAGGCTGAGATGTGAGAGACAAAAATGGCTGGTGCTCAAGCGTAGCAAAGGGGAGCTAGGGCCCCCTGCACATCTAGGATCTGGGAGTCAGAGCATGGGAAAGAAAAGACAGTTGGGGGGTGGGGGTGGCAGCTGTGAGCTGATCAGGTGGGCATCAGAGCTGAGAGTGTGCGGTAGTGATGCAGTGCTCATCCCACCATCCTTCCCCTAGGGGACAGCTTCCTCCACAGCAAAATCTCTCCTTAGAAACATCTACACTCATCAGTACAAAAAGCGTCAGGCTTTATTAAACAAAAAGGAGGTAGAAGACAAATAAGGGAACAGGCCAGGACCCTCCTTCCCCCTGCATATACACAGACATACAAATACAGGCATAACTGAGTAAATGACAGGGACCATCAGGGAACAGACTGAAGGGCAGAGGGAGGCAGCACCCTCCGAGAGTGGGCCCGGACCCAAGGGTGGGCTGAAACCTGGGCCAAGGGCAGACGTTCTGATGGGTTATGCCTGAGCAACTTGGAGATGAGGTCCTGGGCTCCTGTGGGCACAGAAGGAGGGAACTTCAGGTCTATCTGCAGACATGGAACAAAGAGATGGAAGGACCACATTAGTTCCACCTTGGATGTGTTTTTCTTGACTATCCATTCTATTCAGTTATGCAGGTCGGTGCATATATGCTCTGCCTCTGGACCCAGCCCCTGGCCTCTGCAGTAGGCACAAGACTCCAGACAGCCCTCCCACCTTGACGATGCGCCGATAGGTCTCATTGTGTGACGCACTCTCAAAGGGTGGGTTCCCCACCAGCAACTCATAGCAGAGTACTCCGATGCACCATAGATCCACTTTCTCATTGTGTGTGCGCCCCTCAATCATCTCTGGGGGCAGGTAGTCCAGGGTGCCACACATTGTCTTCCTCCTGGATAGGATGAGGGGAGTAAACAAGGGTCTCAAGGACAGACAACTGCTCCTTTTCCTGCTGCCCAACGGCAGAGAGCCAAGAGATCACAGCATGTACTGGGAGAGTGTTCCAGTCAGGCAGGAAACCTGGGGTGGAAGTGAGGTGATGATATACAGTATACTGAAGCCCCAGAGGTGGGCCTATGTGTGGCCCCAGCATTTCCACATTGATGGGTATCTCTTAATAATAAATCGGGTTACAGCTACCATGCTATAAGCCATTACAGATGATGTGGGAGTATCTCAATGATATGGCAAGAGGGTTCCAATATATTGAGACATCTGTGTGACAGAACTATCTCCTGTTTTTGTAAAGATATTGCTGTATCTATATTTGCATGAGGACGTACCTCAGTGTCCCTGGCACAATCACGGCTCACTACAGCCTCCAACTCCTGAGCTCAGTAGATCCTCCTGCCTCAGCCTCCTGAGTAGCTAGGACTACAGGTGTGTGCCACCATGCCTGGCTTTTTTTTTGGAGAGATGAGGTCTTGCTATGTTGCCCAGACTGGTCTCAAACCCCTGGGCTCAAGCAATTCTCTTGCCTTAGCCTTCCAAATTGCTGGGATTACAAGTATGGGCCACTGCCTCCAGCCAGGAGAGTTTTATTTCAAATGTTCCAGATTCACACCCAGGTCTGGTCTCCCAGCCCATCGTACCTCAAGGAGGGAGCATGTACAGACCAGCCAAAGTCAGCAATCTTCAACTCTCCCTTGAGGCCCAAGAGCAGATTCTCTGGCTTTATGTCTCTGTGAATCACCTTCTTCCCGTGGCAGTACATCAGAGCATCTGCCAGCTCCTCCATGATCTGGGAGGGCCAATTACAGGCAATCAGACAAGGTTGGACCTCCAAGCTGCAAGCAGTGTACCCCAGCTTTGAGCCCCCCGCCTATTTCCCGGGCGCCCATCCTGCCCAACCGTGGCTGTTCGCTGCTCATCAAACGTGCGGCTCTTCTGCAGCTCCTTGTAGAGCTCCCCCCGGGGGGCATACTCTAGAATCAGGTAAATCCTCCTCCGGTCATAAAAATAGTTGTAGAGGCGCAGGATGTTGGGATGCCTGGGGGAAGAGACAGGTGGCCTTAGGCTGCATCCTGGCATCAAGGAGCCAGGAAAGATGACAGGAGCAAACTGGGGTCAGATGTGGACCAGGCTGGGGACACCATGGCTGAGATGGTAAGAGAGAACAAGGGCAGCACTCTGGATTCAAGGGCATGGCCCAGACTTAAATGGGATTCACTGGCCTTAGCCGTAGGAGAGACAGCAATCTGGATGTGGTGGGGCTGAAGCTGGGAGGGTGAGGGAGCAGAGGGGCTTAGGCTCAGGGGGTGAACCCATACTGCAGGTGGGCCTGGATTTCGATCTCCCTCCGCAGCTGGTGCTCCACGCCCTCCTTCTCTATCTGAGACTTGAAGAGGACCTTGAGTGCCACGATGAAATGGCTTTTCTTCTCCCGAGCCAAGTACACATTTCCAAACTTGCCTTTGCCCAAAGGACGCCCAATCTCAAAGTCGTCGATTGTGAAGGGCCGCCTGGTTAGAAAGCAGGGAAAGGCAGCTCAGCGCTGGTTTGTCGGTCAGCTAAGGGGTTTGCTTTCTCCCTGCTCCCTCTTTCCATCCTGCCCTCAGCCCCATTTCTCTTCATCCGCACTCTTCCTGCCCTTAGGCTTTACCTTCCCAACTCCCTGCCTGTTTACTGTCCCCCCCACACTCCTCCATCTCGGTCTGGGGCACTTACATGAACAAGTTGGGTGTCCCACTGCTGTTCTCCACCCCCTTCTGGCCAGGGCCAGCTAAGGAGAGAACAAGTAAGTTGAGGCCCCCCCTTGACATTCTCACCCTTACATCCTCCCATAGATGCTCATCCCCTCGGGTCAGTCCTCTCCCCCTTGTTTGGGTTACCTGTAGGCTGGACATTGGAGCGGCTCATGAGGACAAGTGCAGATGGAGTGGTGGGCTCCTTCCGGAGGACTCGCTGGGGCAGGGTACTCAGGCCAGATGGAGCCTGGGAAGGAGCAGCGGGTAGCTCTGAGGGTGCCTTTGTCTTGGTGACTAGGCTGGAATGTGCTGCTAGCAGCATTTCAGCAGCTTGCTAAAGAGCCACGCACCCACCCACCCTCAGTTCAAAGAGAAACACTGACACCAGTTTTGCTTCCCAGTCCCAAGACTCTGCTCAGAGTCCCACATTAAAATGGGTTATTAATAAACAACCTAACTCAGCCTAAGATAAGGAGCAAAGGACTCACTCCAACACCTAACGTTCCCTGTTCCACATCTCTCGTCCTGGCCTCAGGCATGAAGCTGTCCAACTTGTGTAAATTCTGTCCATAACACTACATTCACCCTAGACACAGTAGAGGGCTGGGCTAATGAACACCCACAATCTAAGGAGTTTTAGCACAGAGGCATTCTCAAGGTTCCCTAAAAAGCTTAGTCTATTAAGGCTTAAACAAGTCCCTTGAGGCCTTGAATATTGTAGCAAATGCCAGGATTTACCCCTTTGCAAGAACAGGCTTTAGAAACACGTAGGACTACTCTGATGGCCCTGGACCACTTCACATTTTCAATTTCTCAGAGTAATAGATACACTTGCTTTTGGGAGTGACCAAGGTAAAAGTGACAAGAGGTTATAATTCAGACTCCATTTTTGACAGCCTCACTCAGTACTTTATGAGGGAGGAAGCTAGTAGACAAGGAAACAGATGGATGTCTGCCTAGGCCCCAGAGACAGGGAGTAAACTCTATACTGGGCCCTTTCCATCTTCACCCAAGAGAAGAAAGCCCCACTGCCCCTAAAAACCTGTTCTCAAACAATGATATCAGTACAGGTCAACAAATAAGCAAGTTGAACAAAATATAGTTCAGAAATAGCCAGGCGTGGTGGCTCATGCCTGTAATCCCAACACTCTGGGAGGCAGAGGCGAGAAGATTGCCTGAGTGCAGGGGTTCGAGACCAGCCTGGGAAATTTGGCAAGACCTTGTCTCTACAATAAATCAGAAGAATTAGCCAGGAATGGTGGCATGCGCCTGTGGTTCCAGCTGCTTGGAAGACTGGGGCAGAAGGATCACCTGGAGCCCAGCAGGTCAAGGCTGCAGTGGCCATGAGCATGCCACTGCCACTGCACTCCAGCCTGGGCAACAGAGTAAGATTTCAAAAAAAAAAAAATAGTCCCACATTTATGTGGAAATTTAACATACATAATAAAGGTGGTGTTTCAAATCGGAGGGTAGACTCTTCAGTGAAAAGTCCCTGAACAACTGAGAAATATATCTTTGTAGATCCTTATTCAACACCATTCATTAAAATAAAATCCAGGCCAGGTGTGGTGGCCCATGCATGTAGTTTCAGCACTTTGGGGGGCCAAGGCAGGAAGGTCGCTTGAGCCCAGAAGATTGAGATCAGCCTAGGCAGCATAGCAAGTCCTCGTCTCTACCAAAAAAAAATTAAAAAATTAGCCAGGCATGGTGGCATTCACCTGTAGTCTCTGCTACTCGGAAAGCTGAGGCGTAAGGATAGCCTGAGCCCAGGAGGTCAAGGCTGTGGCACTCCAGCCCGAGTGACAGAGTGAGTCCCTGACTAAAAAAAAAAAAAAGAAAAATCCAAATGATTAATTTAGACTTGCCCTGGACCCTTTAAATAGCAACCTTATCTATATCCTTCTAGAGTATATTTCTATTTGCTTGTTAGTTTATTTTTTCAGGACATGGGTGGGCTGAGGGAATCAGTCCCAGTTATCATTTGTACTGACAAGTAGGCTCAGGCCTGCAGAGGTCCTCACAGGCTGGTCAGATTCAAGTTGACAATACCTGACACAATGTGGCAGCAAATGACCAGACCATGTTCTACCACCAAACTCTTGGGACCCATAGTTGGAGCATAACAGGAAAGAAAGTGCTTAGATTGCTGCCCTCTGCAGGACTTCAAGTCTCCAAGCATGAACTCGCCATGCGAGGGTAGGGGGTCGGGAAGGAGGTTAAGACCTTACCATCTGCCGGCCGTAGGGCCAGGGGTTGGCGTTCTCCTTCTGGGCCATCCTTAGAGAGAAAAAGGGAGGAGAGTTGGACAGAGAAAAGGACAACAGAACCGTGAAAAGCAGAAAAAAGAGGAAAGAGGGAAGGAGGGGGTTGGACCGATCTAGTCGGAAGCGCGAGCCTGGACTGGTGAAAGGAACCAGGTCTGCACTTTGGCCAGTCAGGGCGCATCCGGGCGCTCGTCTCACCACCCCTACTCTGCTACCAGCCCCACTCCCTTCCAGGACCCTCGCTGCTACACTTGAGCGCTCAGCAGCCTGGCGGAATGAGCTCGGGTCCGCCGAACAGACTTCCGATCAGCCTGATCATCTCCCCGCTCGCGGCGCAAAGCTCGGAAAAGGAGGCCAGTTTACCTGCAGTCCAAGAGGCACAGCTATTTCCTGGCCGCTCGCAAACGACTAAATCTGCCCGGCCACGCCCTCGCCGAGGCACTTTCAAATCTCCCGCCCCGGTCCCATTGGCTGAGCGCGCCGCCTATTCCCAATTCTTATTGGCTAGATATATTGTGACGTAGGTCGTGGGAGCCCAATGGAAGAAGCGAAATGAGAGCCGGCGCACACTCGACTTCCGGTTTGGGAAACCGTCTAAAGTCCTCCCAATGAGATTTCTTTTTTTCTCTTCTTCTTTCTTCTCTCTCGCCTTTTTCCTCTTTCTCTCTCTCGTTTTCTCACTTTTCTTTTTCTTTCTCCTTTTCTTCCTTCTTTCTTAAAAAATGTTTTAAAAAATCTTTAATATAACCAGAATTTAGCCTTGTGTCTGTATGAGCTAGGGTCTTTTTCTGCCAAATGGAGAATCCAAGTATGCCAGCCCATTTGTTAAACAAACTGCCCCATTCCCAACAGAATTTAAATGCTGCCCTTGATATATAAAGTCATGGTATATATTTTGTCTATTTCTAGGCTGTCTATTCCGTTGTTCAGTTGTGTGTGTGTGTGTGTATTCTTCTATCACTACTATTTTGTTGTTTAAAGTCCTCACATCTTTTAGAGGAGTTTTCTATCAGCCAGTCTTCGTCTGCAGGATCCCTGATAGCTGCCATGTTATTTGGGCGCACTCCCATTTTTTTCTCCTTCCTGCCACGCTTCTTTTTTTTCTGCTCTTTATAATCCCCAAATTTCATTATTTTGTTAAGTAGATACATTTTGGAGCCTTCAATGAGATAACCAGTGTATATTTGTAAATATCTCCAGTCTAGCACAGTTCCCCTTTCTTCTAATAAACACTGTATCTTTACTCCTGTCTCCTCATTCTGTATAGACAGTTTCTGTTGTAGTTAGTTTCTGTTGCAGATAACCCCAAATTCCCACTTTGATGGATATCTATTTTTTTTTTTTTTTTGG